GCAGTTACTAGCAGCTTTCAAAACAACTGTCTTGGAGCATACCGGTGCCTCCATCCTATATCAACTTTCTAAACCATCCATCCCTGTTTAAGTACTGTATCAAACTTGCACTGTAGATGACAAACCAGAATAAATCCTCAAGGAAGACAGCCAGTACAAAGTTCCCAAGAGTTGCACTCTGATAAATTCACTCGACCAAGCACAGAAGCCCAAGAGCCCAGCCATCGCCCTAAGCTCATGGTCCTTAGCTGCTATATTTGGAGGCCATTACACCTTTTTTTTTCAAGGGAAAAGGACCTGGCAAGGTCTTGTATGTGATAAAGGCTTATATGTGATAAAAAGTTTAGGCCCTCCGTTCCTGCTTCAGTTATACGCTACAATGACTTGATTTCGACAGTTACCTGGTTTGTCGTAGTATAAGCAAGCAGGGAAGCAAGCCTGACAGGCTTAGTTTCATGAATAAGTAGAAAGATAACCTCAATGCAAGAGATGATATTAAAATATAAGGGAAAGGTCACCATGTGACCAAACAGGGAACCAATTAATATCCTGGGGACAGAAGAAAAGATGTAACTGACCTGTAAGTGCCATTCACTTGTGAGAGAAGATCCTTACCTTGTTCTCTCAACGTTCTTCTAAGCCCTTCTCAAATTTCTATGCCTTTTTTATTTTTTCATTTTTTCCGCTCTTAAACAGTTCTTGAGTTCACCAAGATAGATTTATATAACCCTCTAGCACTACTGTAGCCTGTAGTGCTACAGTACATCAAAGGATTACCCAAATTAGTGACTAAATATATAAAAATGCAATGATCTGGAAGCTGACTGTATTTGCATAGAATAATTGAGTAGTTTGTTTTGTGTACACATGAATAAATCAATTAAAATGATTTAACCAAGGTCAATGGAATCTGTTGATGCCTGAAGTGAATGAATGAGTTATATTTGGAGGATAGCATAGGACTTTTCAGCCATACTAGTGGATTAAAATAGTGCGCTGTAGGTGAATAGTCTGTGTCTAGACACAGGCTAACTAATTTTTGAAGAGCAAGTTGAGGAACGGGGGCAAGTGATTTTGGATTATCACAGTATATCATAACTGAAGGAGGAATTGTGTCAGAGGTAATTGAATGGCTCAGCCTAATATTTTCATAAATGCTGAAAGTGTCTGCAGAGTTGTCCCATACACAAGGGATATTGTGTCGCAGTAACAGTTCTGGTTTGGCTTGGGTAGCTTTTCAGTTGCAAGGATTTTACTGTAATTTTCTTTTACATGGCAGCAAAAGCACCCCCCCCACACCCCCAATATATCTTGTTCTGTTTCTCGTGGTCTCTTGAAAAAATTAATGGCTAGCTCCTTGCAAGTCTGTCTCAAGTTTAGCCTATATCAGATGTTAATCAACCTTTAATCTTTTCTTTCTCCTTTTTTTCTTGTGAACTACCTGCTTATTTCAGTAGGGAAGGGAGAAGGGAAAAGAGGTTGGTGGTTAACAGTTCATTATTACGAAAACAAACACGCAGATTGCACAAAAGGAAATCAATTAACAGCTAAAAATTCCACAGTCCATGGTAAGATAATTATTTTTCGTCAGCCATAACATCAAAACCATAAAAACACACAATTTACTGTCATTTGTAATTCCCCTTTGTTGATAGCAGTTCACAAAAA